AGAATTCAGCAATATGTTTTGAATGATATATTAAATTTTTTTTTTAAATTTTAAGAATTAAAAATATTTGTTCAAATTTCTTGCATTTGTTGACCTCTAAATATTGGCTCAAACTAATTTTCCAGAATTTAGCAGAATAAGCTAATTGCTAATTTGTTTTTATAAATCAGTGAAATCAAAATATTAATCCTTATAAATTTGAACAGTTATTCTTTTAGAGAACCTTATGAAAAAGAAAAGGTTGTTTATTATTATTATTATTATTATTATTCTATGCTCAATTGAATACTTAATCCATTTTCTCCTTCATTTTTATGCATTCTTGTCTTTTGTTCTGCATTGATTTCATAGTCATTTCTCTTATGCCATTTTGACTAACAAAGATTCCAAGTCGTCTATTATCATCACCAACTTGCCAATTCTTTCCAATCTTTGCTGGATAATGTTCATACATTTATTGTTAGGAAATGTCTATTTCCAGACATTGAGGTTATCTCTGAAACACAATTCTCTTATTTATTAGCTCCAGTATTATGAAATGGGGAGATATTTCTTCCATAACAACTGACTTTCTTCAGTCAAATCAAATTGAACAATTCACTACAAGCAATTGATCCCAAAATTTCAAATTTTTAGGATTAATTTCAAGTTTCACTTTTCTGCAGAAATTGTTTGAAATTTTTTTTATTTTGATACATATCACAATTTTTTATGGGTGAGTGCAATGCATAGCTAAAGAGTCCATTATTTTGTAAGAAATTTTTTCTCTTAAAATGATTTGAAGTGGAAAAGTTCCATTCACTGTATGAGCACACTTACAAAATATTAAAAATATACAAAACCTAATATAATAACATCAATGATAAACATTTATCTTTGAAGCCTGACATAATCAAGATAGAAAATGGTGCTCAGGAAGAGAGACAAGACATTCTCTGTTGAACACTAAGAGGGGAAGATACAATACCAAACACCCAACCAACCACCCACCTACATATTACCCTGTTTACTGTAAACCTATTTTTCCATCACTTTCAACGGTTTTTATTATCTGTAATAAACCTCATCTATTTGGCATTTTAATTGAAGAACTTGAGACCTTCTTTCTGATGCTCTAAGCTCACAACTGTCAAAGTAACGGTTATATTTTCATTGGCATTACTGTCACGTTGCAGTCCAAAATGGCTTGTCTTGTGTCAAGTCTTGAGGCTGCATTTTATCCTGATTATATTTTCTCTTTGTACTTTCTTGACATTTCTTGCTCTTGAATGTGCAGCAAAATAATTCCTATGTGCTATTCTCATCTTTCTAACTGACCCTGGTATGAGTACTCCCACATGTTGTTTTTCAATGGGACAGATATTGAACAAATGTCTGGGTGCACTTATGTAACAATTTAGATAACTCTTGTTTCTTTTCATCTTTATTATTTCTGATTGTCTTCCCTTCTCAGTACAATGCTTACTTAATCTCAGTTTTGTTTTCATTGAGAAAACAAAAACATTTTAATTTTTGTATATTGTTTATGTCTTGTGAAACTATTAATCTGCAGTCAAAATGTTTCCTAATTTCTAAATAAGTAATCAGTTAATTTTTGTCTATTTTTTTTTATTTTAAAAATTATCATCATTATACACTGATTTATTTTGATTACTGTTCTTACCTCGGTTGTATTAGTTATAATATTTCATCTGTTACACTCTTCAGCCTTCTTAAAGTGTCTGTCATAGTTGGTAACCTTTCAGAAATTTTTAACTGAACCCATTATTCAATCCACAGGTGTAGACTGTTCTCATTACACTGTTTATTCAATAAGAAATCTTGTATCAGTTAATTCTTCTGTGTACTGTCAATTGTCAACTAATTATTAAATAAATGAAAATAACTTATAAATGATCAGGTAATTGAGATAATAAAAATGTTCCTCTTTTTTATTTATAAAGTAAAATGAAAATGTTATTCCAAAACATTTTTGAACAATAATAATTATAAGAAAGAAGCATGCTTAAAAAATATTAGAATCTGGCTAGGGAGTTGAAAAAGCTATGGCACATGATTGTTGAAGTAATTTCTGTAGTAATGGGTGCTTTTGGATAAACACTTAGAAAATTGAAAGCACACTGAAGGATAATTGGAATTAAGACCAAGATTGTAAACCTTAGAAAACTGCCATCATTTAATCTGGAAAATTCTTCATCAATGTGCAACACCTAAATAATAATTAATAATAAATAATTACCTTTTCACATTGAAAGGAAAAAAACCTTTTCAGTGGCAGAAAAAAAAAGTTCACCATTGATTCCAATTGGGATTCAAAACTAGTTTTTATGTTGTGTATAGAGCTTAGTTTGATTTTAAGTATTTTCCTGAAGCTATCCAGATTCATGCCTTGTATAAGCCAATGGTTGAATATTTACCTGTTGAAAAAAACAAAGTATTTTACTTTTCTCAGTGATAAAAATTGTCAACATTATATTTAATATTGAATCTCAAAAGATAGCCTACAGGAATCAATTTTTCCAGTTGTACCAGCTTGATAGTTCTAATCAATACTGATGCCTTTTTGTGTCTATCAAAGAGGTTAAGTCTTTGTTTGCTGATGGAATTAGGCACTATATTCTTGTGGCTACTGGCTGCTCTGTAATAGTGTGTTAAATAAGAGTAAGTCTTCTATCCTACCTCTCTTCACTGAATTTGAAGTATTAACATCTGCTGACAAAGCAAAATGTTTTGCTAGTAAATTCTCTTCCAATTCTACTCTTCACTCACCTGGAGTGTCTTTGTCTGACTTTCCACTTGGTCCTAAACGGAAAGTCAAAGATACCACAAATGATCCCTGCAATAGTCCTTAAGAAATTTGCTCTTGAACTGACTCCTGTACTCTCAAGACTATAATAAATGCCTTGCTGCTTCTTTAAAATCCTTTTTAGTAGTTCCAGTCTTTAAGAACTTAGGTAAACTGTTTGAGCTTTCTACCTCTTTTTGGCAAATTACTAGAAGTTCTAATCAACTCTGAATTAGTTAAGCATCTCCCCCTGCAGGGTCGTCTTTCAAATAAGCAATATGGCTTTTACTTCTCTAGGTGAACTGCTGATGCATTAATGGTTATTGCTGAAAGAGTCTTTAAATAAGAATGGTGAAGCTAAAGCTGCTGCTTTGGATATCTAAAACACATTTGACAGGGTTTGGCATACTGGTCTTCTTCACAAGTTGAAAAATTGTGGTATTTCTGGATAAATTTCTGATCTGATGCAATCTTTCTTATCAAATCATGAAATGAATGTTGTGTTGAATGGCCACTCTTCTAGATCATTTTGCATAATTTAGGCGTCCTCCCCCAGAGCTCTATCCTTGGACCTACGTTGTTATAAATTTTCATCAACAACCTTCTTGAAGTCATCAGTTCTCAACTCTGTATGTATGTTGATTACATAACGATTTACTCCTGTCTTAATGAAACATCTGATTGGTTTGATCTCAAAAATGACCTAAAATCAGTTGTTCTCTTGTTAATTTTAATGCCACCAAAGTGAAACATCTTTTTTTTAATCAGAAAACCTTTTTTCACTTTCATCAGTATGGCTGATGCTAACCTCCAGGTGAGGGATTCATTGTGCCTTCTTGAACTAATATTTTCTACTCACATGAAGTGAAAAGATCATATTGAAACAATTGCTAGGTCTGCTGCTAGGTAAGTTGGTTCACTGTATCATGCTAGACAATTTTTCTTCCTAGAATCTATCTCACACATTTACATTGCATTGAATATTGCTGCCATATCTGGTCTAGTGCTTCTGTTATATATTTAGAGATTAAAATCCAAAGAGGAATCTGCAATGTTATTGGTCCTGACCTGACATCTCAGCTTAGTCTCTTTCCCACCACAATAATGTGGCTTCCCTGTACTTTTTCTATAAATATTTTCATGGTAGTTGTACTGATGAACTTTCCTCTCTGATATATACACTTTATGAATTTAAGCACAGTATTAAATTCGTGATAATGTCTCATTATTTTACAATTGGAATGGCTAGATGTAACCGTAAGTTCTATGCTAACAGTTTCTTCTCTTGCACTTCTCACTTGTTGAACTCTCTTCCAGTTTCTTGCTTTCCAGTCAACTTTGATCTTCAAAAATTTAAATGCAACATCAACCTTCTGTCTTCTTAATGTCTGTTCTTTTATTGTTCTCTCTCCTTAATAATGTTTTCTTTTTCTCATATTCTCTTTTACTCAGCAACCACTTGTGTCTTAGTGGCTTTATTGCCTTGCTTCAGATGAAATGATTAAAAAAAAATCTTTTATAATTTGGTGGATAGAAATACTCAAAATAAATATCTCCTTACCAGACTTATATTCTTTGTAATTTTGATCAGAATGATCCTTTAAAATTTCTATTCTAAATCATACCACAATTTCTTAATTTAAACAACTAAAATTGAGTGAAACCTTCAATAATTTTATCATGGGATTTTTTTGTTAGATATTTCTATTCCTGCTACTTCTCTTCATGAACATATGACACCCTCCCCACCACCACCACCATCACTCAATGTTTTGATTTGATTTGTTTTGTCTCTATCCAAAATACTCTATCACTTCTGATTTTGTAAAAAGAAATTTCCTTTCTTGAAATGAAGTCTTTTTTGGAATCCGGGATTAAACTCTATACCTTATGTAATCCAGACTAATTCACTAATATGTTAGCCATCATCTGGCACTTAAGAGTTTATACAGTGCTTCTTAATTAGATCAACATTACAAAAGATGTTTCTTTTGCTCTCAAATTTTGACCTCCTTTTTAAAATACTAAAAACAAAGAAAAATAAATTTTCTTACTTTTTATTTCAGTTTGAATTAATAAAGAAGCTTAATGTCATGCCAATTCTTTGATTACTGTCTCATTAAAAAAGAAAATTTCCTTCTCCTTTGTCAGTTAATTAATAAGTTCTTTTAGTATTTTGATGCAGTTGAGCACTTCTTAGAAAAAGACTCTTTTGATGTCCACTGCTACTTCTCTGATCTGTTTCTGGTGATTGGATGCTGCTGGGGTTCAGATTATAAGTAATTATTGGCCAGCAACTTGTGGGATTTGGTGTTCCTATTAGCCAGAGTATTGGTGGCGGCTGGCAGTAAGTGTCCATGGTCTTGTAGTCATCATTCTCTGTTAACACCCTGGCTGCCTTTTCCTGCCCTTTCCTTCTTGCTCTCATTCAATCTCTCTTTTATCCTCTGGTTGTCATTCAGCATCTCTCTTTCTCTATCACTTTTCTCACTCTACGCCTACTCCCCCTCTCTATACACCCACCCCTGTTTCCCCCTCTCACTCTATACACCCACTCCTGCTGCTCTCTGTCTCTCTCTTTCTCTCTCTCTCTCTATATATATATATATATACACCAACTGCTGCTCCCCTCTCTCTATATACACCCACACCTGCCTCCCCTCTTTCTCTATACACCCACTCATTTTCACTCTCAACACCCACTCATTCTCCCTCCCTCTACTATATCTTTGCAGTCTTTCTCTTTTGTTCTCTCTTCGTTTATGCACACTCACTCTCTCAATAACTCCTTGTCTTTTTTTCTTCCTGCTTGACTTTCTCTTATCTTGTATTTCTCTTCCTTCTAAATGTCTACAACTCTCTTTCTCTCTATTCTCATCAGTTGCTCTTTCTTCTTCTCCTCCTGGCTCACTATTTCAACTGCTACTCAGAAGCAGGCGGTGATGCCCCAGACTTGGCATTATGCCGTTGCAACCACAAAACACGCATTGATTATCCATTTCACTGCCTCAACTTCTCCAGGCGCCCTCTGTGTCCTGAACGCTGCTGCAGTGTGGAGTAGCCGTTGGTTGGCAAGTAGCAGCTTCAATGGAATACCAATACTACTATTACTACTACTATTACTGGTGACTACTATTAGTCAACTTTTACTGTATCTTACTACAAATGTTCCTGTTAACAAGGTACTGATACCCTCTTGTCTATTGTCTGCTTTTTACAAGTACTTTTTCTTTCTTTTTTCCAACAGGCACAACTTTCATATTCTTCTTTTTTCTTTCATTCAACTTTGTTGCTTTTGATTTCATTCATTTTTTTCTTCTTCTGCATTTTTTTTTCCTCTTTAAGTAAACATTCACTTAAAATTCAATTCTTTTCACTTATTTTTTTTTTTTTTTTTTTTTTTTTTTTACAATTTTTTTGACTTCTGTCATTTTCTGCAAAGTTTAATGCTTTCTGCTATTTCGGATTTTCTTATACAAATTGTGGTGTTTTCTCACGGCAAAAATATTTACCATTTCTTCCATTACATTAAGGAAAACCTTTTGAAAATTTAAAAAGAAGATAAGTTGTATTTCCACCTTTTGAAATTTTCAGAATTACTCTTCATTTGCATTTTGATTGGTTCCATATTTTTCTTAAGTTGATTTGAAAGTTTCTTATGAAGCAGAAATATCTTAGAGTTTTAAGGGAACTGCTCCGTGTTTTGCTGCACTATTTTAAGTGACAAACACATCAAAAGAAATTGGAAAGAAAAATAATTCAACTTCAGGGGAATTTCCAAGCTTTATTTTGGTTCCACTCATTTTGTATTGGTTTGGGGGTCACAAAGAAATGATCAATATCAAAATTTATTCTCTTTAAACTTTTTCTCTAAAACTCTTATCATTTTCAGCTTGGAAAGTTTAAAATATTTAATTCCATACTGACCTTTAAACTTTTGAGCCCCCCCACCCCAATATTTCATTTATTATCATAAATATAGACAGTGGTCTCCTTCAGATATATATTTTGTTTTTTTGCCTATTGTCTTTGATTTTGGATTCATTTTGAATATTCCAGTTCATTTTTCAAGTTAGTCACTTGTATAGTCTCAGGATGTACCCCTCTTCTAATGTGTACACTTCTTCTAATGTGTACCTAATCAGTATGTTAATATAAAATCAACATCATCATATCAATACAAAGGTGGAATGATGTGAATGCAAAAAAAATGATCAGAAACATTGCTTTTTTTAAATTCACTCAACTTTGCTTTCTTGTGTCATGGTTTCAATTCCAAGTGCAACTGAAACAATTTAATCAATGATTCCATTGAGTGACCAGAAAACCTTCTGTTGTTAATAAATTATTATTTTCATAAGATGCCAAATATTTCATGGAAAATAAATGACTGGAGGAATCATTTTTCTTACTAAAAACTAAACATAGTTGAGGAGGTAAAAGTTCCCAAGTTGAAAATTTAATTTCAACAATTTGCTTTGAATTGCTAAAAATCTGATTTATGGTTGAAGACTAAGCAACATTTTTTCCATGTGAAACAAATTTTTTTCTTCATTTTATAAGGAGTTTTTTCTTTGATAAGTGAAAAATCAAGAATCTCAAAACTATTTTATACTATTATGTATTTTAGCATCTGAATTTTATCAATTATTATAATCATTGGCAAAAAGGCAAATAATTCTTGACAAAATCTACTATGGCAATTCTTTCTTAACTTGAAAGAGAATTTTTATGGATCTTTCTCTTAACATTTAGATGTACAATGTAATAAAGATTTTTATCATACTTTGAAGAATTTTATGTACTCAATAGAATTTAAATCATTGATAAAATTATTTTAATTAAATGAAAAATAAGAATATTACTTTCTTTTGAGATTAGATTTCTTTAAAAAATTGAATTGCTTTCCCATTTGTAGGGAGCTGATAAATAGTTCGGTACTTTAATTTTGTTCAGTAATGTCTTGGTCTGTGGCTATCATTTAAAATTGGGCTGATACCAGTTTGAAAATTTCTTGATATTTTTTTATCAAAAAAATTTGTGATCAGTATGCCTTTCAGAAATAATGTATTAGATTTAAACTTCTACTTTCATCTTGTAAGATGGAAAAAAATTTCATGAGAAATGGTAAGATTTATGAGGGATGGAAGTGTGGTCCTCTCTCTCGGTTTACAATGAAAGATAATAAAAGTAAAACTGTAGATATGAAAAAAGGAACTTGTTTTTTAAATATTGGATGAAGTTAGTAACATTATAGTTCCATTTTGTAATTATTAACACTGGAAAGGTAAGGAATTTCATTATTGCCTCTAAAATTTGAAATTATATAAAATTCAAAAAAATTATTTTAAATATTTATTCCCTTATGTTTATTTAACTTTTAATTACAGTTACTTAAAATTCTTATCTTGATATTTTTTTAAATTCGTCTCTAACTCCCTTAGCTTCAAGTTGCATCCCTCCATTTTTTTTTGTTTTATTTATTGGAAAAGAAAAATTATTTTAGCTAAATTTCATGAAAGCATGATTTGGGAAATAAATCTAGAAAGTGGGATTTGCTATTGATAAATTTGTAAATGGTTTTCTGAAATGAAGAAACAAAGTTGGTAAATGAATGATTTTACTGCAAAAATACTTAAATTCTAAGAAGGAAATTTGGCTTCCATTCATGATGCTTGCAAAAACAGAAAATCAACTGGAATTCTTTCAGTTTTGGTTCAAATGTTTCCTATTGATTTCTCGTTTGTTGAAGTCTCTTCATTTTCTACCACATTTTTGTCTGATCTTGTGACTTCACGGCCCGAATTTTGTCCAGTTAGCACCTCCATCCCCATCCCCTTTGGCCTCCCTTTACAAAACTGACAAATGATTACATCATTGTTGCTTTGACATTTGACCCCTCCTCCCATAACATGGAGAAAAATGAGCTGAATTCTTTCTCTTCTTCACTTTTGATTCAATCAATTATGCATTAAAAAAAGTTCTGCATTTGTGAAATGGTTTATTTAGTTTCTTACAGCATCAACTCATTTGACAAGGTTCAATTTGAGGCAAAAGTATTTCAGCTGTAAGTTTCTCAGAGACCATACTTGCTCTAATAAGATATTGCTGTAAATATAAAATAGATAAATAATATATTGCTTCAATTTAGGATTGTGGCTCAACTGGAAAAGACATTGGTTTTCTAATTCATCCGATCTTAGAAACTTGAACAGAATTAGAAGTAATTTGTGAAATAATTTCAAAATTGTAGATTGGATCATCATCATTGCTGTTGTTTTCATTGAATGCAAAAGTTAATTAAATTTTCTTTAAGTGTACAGGGATCTTCAGTGAGAATGATTTTTACATAGACTAGGGACAATATACTTTTAAAGTCTCTGATCTCAATATTATAAATTTCTGAATTGCCTGTTAGAGGTACAGTTAATTTGGTAACTTACCAGCAATTGTCTTAATTTCATTTTTTCAATAAACATTTTGGAGAACCTTTTTCTGTTTTTTTTTTTCTCTCTATTATCATGAAACTTTAGATAAACCAATGACATAAATACCCAATTCAACTTTTCTCATCATTTTATACAAAGTGAATAACTGCAAAAGCAACTATTTTCTTAAATTCTTAAAAGCTTTGTTCTTCCATTCTATTCAAGTTTTCAAATACATTTCTTTCTCTACATCAACACAACAATTTACAGAATTTGGGAATATTTTTATATTTTAATTTAAAAACAAAAAAAATTGCTTTTTTCGATAGAAACATTTTCTTTTTCTTCTTTTTTTTTTGTTTTTTTTTTTCTGCTTTACTTTCTTATTATGAGATGTCCTAAGAATAAAGAAACAATAATACATTGCATATAAATTTATGTCGGTTGTAGAGATTTTGAAGATTTTACAAGAACTAAAATAATTATGGAAGCCAAATCTACTTTACTGGACTAAGAATTTTTTTTTAAGGTATTGTAAGACAATTTACAATAACATCTTTTAGATAATAATTCTGTTCTCCGCAAGAAATTTATTGCACATAATTACTGTTCTTTAAAAAAGGACAAAAAACAAACTTTTCAAAAGCAGTTAAATAGTAGGGAGTGAAACTTCCTTATTAACCTGTTAAGATTAAAGTTTTGTATATCTTTTGTTAATAACTACATTCACAGAGAATGAAATTTCAAATATTTTTTAATATGGTGTTAGTGTTTCTTATTTCGAAAAAGCATTAGGAGTAGATGGGGGAACCAGAATTGTTGAAACTTTTGAACATGATCCTTTATTTGGAAGAGTTGAAACAAAAACACTTTGGAATGAATTGAAAATTGAAAGTTTCAGATTTCTTTGTTCGTTTTGACACTATAAAAGAGTTAATGTTAATAAATGAATTTATATAGAGAACATTTTGATAGACTTCATTGGCGTTGCTTTTTTCAAAAAGAGAAAAAACTATTTCTGCTTGTCTTACAAAGCAGATACACATTGAATGCATTTGACATAGCAACTAATATTTGTAACTATTTTGTGTGAAGATGTGAAGTTTGTAAAGTTGAAGTCATCGAGACAGAGTAAGTGAGGAGCTGAAATAAAAAATATTTTGACTATTAAGGTGAAAAACTGACACAAATACTAAAACAATGACTTGCTTTCATATGCATTTGCTCTCTCAGTTGAATAATCAGTGGCTTGCCATAATAAGTTCTGAACTTTCCATATGCTGGATAAACTTTTGATTGCTTCATTAAACAAAAAATATATTTAGCTGTATTATAATAATAATAATTATTATTATTATTTCCTCAACTTAGATGTTTGGGAAGTTTCTGTAGATGTTATTGATTTTTTTAAAAATAATGTTCACCCAATACAAGCCTCAAGAACCATGCGAGTTAGAGGTTTATTGAATGAATTGTGATGTGAATGTAAGAGTAGTAATTGATCCTTGACTTGAAGCAGTCAAAATTGTAGTGCGTGCAGAAGCATCCACAAAAGAGTCTGTTCCACAGCGCAACAGTTCTTGGGAAAATGCTGTCTGGGTAGGGCTTCTTCCTTACATTTACAATACAGAGGAAACAAGAGGTGTTTGATACTACAAATACAGCATGACAGGTCTGAATTGTAAATATCTGAATTGGTAGAATGGAGCTCATTTTAACATTTATCATACAAACAGCAGTAGAGTCGTGACAAGCTTATATCATTGCACCTGTAGGAAAAGAGCTGCAAGGTGAAAAATTTGTCCTCCTAGCATGTTTTGACTCTGGATAAAAATATTCATGCTTCAAATTAGGATAAAACTTTTCTTCTCTCATGAAATCACTTTACTATTGTTAAAACCAGTGACACCCAAGAGTATC